ATGCGAAGTTCACAACAGGGTTTGTGCTCCTATGATAATCTAATGCCGCTGCTCATCTGACAAGAGGTGGAGCTCAGGTGGTAATGTGAGCCAATGTGAGCCACTGAGAAGAGCTGTAAATACGGATGAAGCTTTGCTCACTCACTGGCTCCCCTGCCTACCACTCACCTCCTGCTGTGTGACCCAGTTCCTAACAGGCCATGGACTGGTACCTGGTGGCTGATTAGGGACCCCTGCTTTATGCTGCTGGTACTCGTTTAATTTGCAACTTTATATCTGGTTTGAATACAGTTACCCTCTAACTCAGTGATTCACAATACTGGCTGTTCAACACAATTACCTGGGAAGCAATAAACAATACTAATGCCTACACTCCAATTCTAGAGCTGCTGATATAACTGATCTGAGGTAAACCTGGCCACTGGGCCATTAAAAGTTCTCCAGACAGTTCCAGTGTGCAGCCAAGGCTGAGCACCACTGCTCTTACTAGATATCCTACCTCTTAACAGCTTTCCTACCCACTCCATGCATCTATAACAAACCAGTCTTTCAACTGGTAAAACTGTTCTGAACACTCCCCTAATTAGGGTTTGTAAGGACGCCACAACACTTCCTAAATGCCTCTCAGACTCCTCGACATAGTACAAAAGTTCTAAGTCGAGATCTCACCCTGCCTTCCTTTCCCAGCTTCGTCTTCAGCTGCTCCCTCCACATGCACCCCAGAATCCAACCAGATTAAATATTTTACATTTCCAGAAAGGCACCAATTCAACCACCTGGCTTCGGCATATACCTTTCCTTCTGCTGAGAAGGCCCTTCTCTACTGAGCCAACTCCTACCTACTAGCACTTCAAAATGGATAGATTCCACACCATTTTCTGAGCAATTATTATGTCCCCAGAGCCTGCTCCAGAGGTTTCCTATATATATGTACATATATACATACACACATATAGTATATATATACATATATATACAGACACACACATACACTGTTGCCCTAAGCATTGATGAAAAAAGTATATATATGTGTATATATATATATTATATATATACACACACACACACAATTTTATATGTGTGTGTATGTATGTATGTATGTATGTACATCTGTGTACTTTTTTCCTCATCGATGCTTAAGACAACAGTGTGAAATAGATTATTAGTGACTCTATTTTATATATTAAGAAATTGAGATTGAGATTAAATACAAGCTCCCATAGCTAGTGAAGCCGATGGCTCCACCTCCAAAGCCTCTGCTCTATGCAACTCCTTCTCCTTAAAAGCTGTCCCATCCCCTGTGGTCTAAATCCTGGATATTCCTCTTCTGGCTTCTCATAAAACCTGTTATTACTTACTTGTAACTCTATTATAAATGGGCTACCTCTCTCAGCTTTGTATCCTAGCACCTAGTTTAGCTATTGGCACAAAACAGGTGCACAAACTATAAAAACTGATCAGCAAAGATTGAAATTATTACTTTTCCTAATCTGGATGCCAAACTTCCTGTAATAAAGCGTAAATTACAGCCCTTTTTATTTTTCCAACCAAGATCATAACTCATACTGAGTTTGAAATCAATTTAAAGAGCAGGTCCTTTGTTTATTTTGCTTTTAACACGACTGAACTGGTATTATCAAATAGTTTCCCTATCTTGTAATTGTGCAACTAATTTTCTTAAAATATAAAATGTGGCCAGGCATAGTGGCTCATTCCTGTATTCCCCACACTTTGGGAAGCAGGGTGGATCACCTGAGGTCAGGAGTTTGAGACAAGCCTGGCCAACATGGCGAAACCCCATCTCTACTAAAAACACAAAAATTAGGAAGGCATGGTGGTGCACGCCTGTGATACCAGCTAGTTGGGAGGCTGAGGTACAAGAATTGCTTGAACCCGGGAGGCGGAGGTTGCAGAGAGCCGAGATCACGCCACTGTGCTCCAGCCTGGGCAACAGAGCAAGACTCTGTCTCAAAAAAAAAAAAAAAAGAAAAAAAGAAAAAAAAAAAGAAATTGATAGAACAAAAATTACAGTCCAGAAATTATTTCACTTATATATGAAAATTTTGTACATGATAAAGGCAGTATTTCAAACCAATGATGTTGAGACAAGAGACTGTCCATTTTGATAAAATAAATTTTAGATTTCAATTTCTCATATTGAACAAAAATAAATTTCAGAAAAATCAAGTATTTAAACATAAAAATTAAAACTTTATAAAAGTATTAGAAGAAAAAATATAATATTTTTATAATCTGGGAATGAGGAAGGCCCATCTCACCATGTTACAGAATTTAGATATCTTAAGTGAAAAGAGTGATAGAGCTGACTATTTGAAAATCAAAACTTTCTCTATAGCAAGACAATATACTTAGAAGACAAATGTCAGACTGGTAAACAAATGTGCAATGCACAGGTCATTTGATTACCATCCTTAAAACATTGTTTAACTTACCCTTATAAATCAACAAGAAAAAGATAATACCCCAATATAAAAATAAGTCTGGTATATGGGTGAATACAGATGCCAGTGATGGCATGAAAAGATGCTTGAATAATTAAGAAACTAATTTTTTTAAAAAAAGAAACCTTTTGCCTACTAAACTGATAAAAAATTAACAAGTCTGATAATACACTGAGTTGGTGAGGATGTGGTAAAATGAGCGCATTTTAAAAATACTGACTTGGCACCTACTACTATATGTCAAGAACTAAGGCTAAGCATTAGGATATTCAGTGAACAAGTAACATTCCTTCCTGCACTCAAGGGGTTAACATACTCTGTTAGCAAAGGGAGTATTGTAGAACCTTTCTAGAGATTCTGACAATGTGTTGATTGTAATTAGAGAGGAATAACTATGTGTTAGAATACAGAATTTTAAATAAATGCTTTAAAAATAATTCTACACATTTAAAAGCGTCTTTCCATCTCAACAAATACCCTCTGTTGCCTAAGTGGCAAGCTAATGTCTAGCTTCTGTGACATCATGATTGACAATGGGCATGCAATCTGACCAGCAGTTCTTCTGGTGGAAATATACTCTAATACACTAGGCAGATAAGAACAATTATACATGTCCTGGGATTGGAGCATTATGGAGAAAAGCAAAGACCTACAAAAAATTCACGTGTTTAAACATCTTTTGGTGAATGTGTATGATAGAATATTATATAGTCCCTAAAAATATAAGCATGTATTGCCATGGAAAAATGTTACTATTATAAGAGAACATGATTACATTTACATGAAAAACTACATATACATATATTTTTATATATTTATAAAAAGCCTGCCAAGAGAAGCCACAAATTTAACAGTGGTTAGCTCTGAAAAGTAGCAGAGAGGAAGCTTTTATTTTGTTTTATACTTTTTTACTATTTGAAAAAACATTTAATGAACATGTATGCACTTGCTTTATAATTTTAAAAGCTACTGTCATTCTGAAAAAAAGAGAGAATGAATTAGCCATAGCTGCTAAAACAAGCTGGAGATCTAAAAATGATTGTCTTGTAAGTAGTTAAAATGAAATTTGCTTTAAATGCAGTTAAAAAGGAGCTGGGCACAGGGCTCATGCCTGTAATCCGAGCACTTTGGGACGCCGAGGTGGACAGATCATGAGGTCAGGAGTTTAAGATCAGCCTGGCTAACATGGTGAAACCCTGTCTCTACTAAAAATACAAAAAATTAGCCGGGCATGGTGGTGTATGCCTATAATTCCAGCTACTAGAATGGCTAAGACAGGAGAATCACTTGAACCAAGGAAGAAGAGGTTGCGGTAAGTGGAGATCACACTATTGCACGCCAGCCAGGTGACAGAGAAAGACTCTGTCTTTTTTAAAAAAAAAAAAAAAAAAAAAAAAAGGCATTTAAAAGGACTCCACTAGAATTCCAATAGTTGTGATATCCAGAAATAAAAGCCATACGTTTACATCCATCAAATTAGCTAAGTTCAGCAGCAATGGACTCAAAAGGACACCTTTAGGTAAGTTATATAAAGATTCGGTCAATCAAAATTTCAGCCAGGTTGAGGGAAGCAAATAAAGTTTGAACAGTTTTTCCTAAGTGCGTGGCCTAAATTCATAGCTCCTTGGCAATAGGAGCTCAACACTGTCCAGAAGCTGATTCCTGGCACTCAGTGTATTAAAAACAATTTTTGAAGTTGCTTGGATTTTGGTTCTGGCAATTCCCTCAATTAACTAAATGAGATCAATCACCTAGGGAAGTGGCTAAGAAACAGAACTAAAAACTTATGCCAAATCTTGGCACAGGCACAAGATTTTGGCTCAAATATTATTTCAATTTATTGAGTAATTGAAATATTTTTGTTTTCCATTAGAATTGTCTAGACACCATAGTTTTTTTTTCCACTCATAATTCTTTAGGGGATTCCAGTTACAATTAATCATCTTCAAAATGTTCAATTAAAATTAAAAAAAAAAATCCAGTCACATAATTGTGGTTTGTCTATATGAGGCTA